GCATACATTTTATGATTTTCTAGTGGAACATAGGAGTAAGGGTTTTCCACAATACTCCAAAAGTTGTTCAGAGGTTTCAAAAATGTTTGCCGTAGCTTTATCTTTGTGTTTAGAGATTTGGATCTTATGCGGTGGATATATTTTGTGATGCACTTCAAGTCAAATTACCCTGTAGGTCTATTTTTTAGTTTCTAGGCGAAACCAAAATTTTTCAGACCAGAAGGAGGTCTCTATTTATGATCCCCTTTACTCACATCTGAGATTATACCTACTTACTCATCTAATAGCTCAGGATGTCTATCATCAGATGTGTTCAAGCATGTTAAGCATAGGTACTGATTTCCCACTGTACTAGAGAGGACGAAGTTCTGCTGAGAATCGCTGCTAACATAACGAATATACATCATGAGCTTGCCATCAGAAGGCCTCTTTCTGTGCATCTCCCATATTTCAAAGCTGAAGAATAACATTGTCGCGAAAAAGTACTATTATAACGAAAGTGGACATATCAATCCAAGAGCCGTTTTCTATTGCCCTCTGGCGCTGCAAGTTTTAAAGCTGGTGTAGCTACTGCTGCTTAGTCCTTAGGAGCCCTTCTATTGGCGATTGAAGAAGGAAACAGCTAATGCTCCATATTGCCAGCGCTGGTGGCCTCAGGCAGTCCAGGGCAGAGGCGGACCATGTCCAACATGCATCAGCCCAGCCGAGGCAGGGCCGTGTCTTCACAATCTGGCCGCTCCGTGTGGTACCCACTATCCCTAGACCAGCGCCTGGGAAATTCACCGGTGAGTAGACGGCACAAAGGAGAAGGTATACATAAAGCGCTTAGTTTACATCAGCAGGGTTCAAGTCAGGGATCACTGCATCTGGTGGTCACAGCACGAGGCATAGGTTGCTCCACTGGGACAATCTCTGGTAACCCGGGCAGCGTTGTAGAGTGCCTAGGCCACTGCATTAGCAGGGCTTCTTTCGCTCGCCCGTGCCATTCTGGGGCCGGCTCCGCCAACCATTAGGCGTCACGGCGCTCCTAGTGTTCAATGAGTGACTGGGTGCTAGGAGCTGAAAATCGGAGAACCATCTGTGAATTGGCCCCATGGTGCCACGTGGGATATCCAAAGATTAGGGTCGTTTTCTGTGAGTGTAGGTCTAGGGCAAGGAGGCTCTTGGATGTAGCATGAAATCGGTGCGAAGACTATGAGCTCAAATTTCACAGGATATGTACCTTGTTTATTGAAACTAATATTACTTATTTTCATTGCCCTTCGAGGAAATATTTTCCTTTTAAAAAAAAAAAAAAATTTAAAAAAAAAAAAAAAAAAAAGAAAAAGAACTGTTTTTTGTCTGCAGCCTGTCAACTGGTAGGAATTGAACAGCTAATTTAGAGAATTGATCTCCATTCTGGTCTTCTTTACCGTTGCCATGTCAACCAACGTCTAAGGGGAAGTCAAAATTTTCTAGCTTGGTGGGAATTAAGGGAGCAAAATTAGATTTTCCATTTTTGAATGCTTCACTTCCAAATTCTTGGCCATTTGGATTATATAATGTGACATACATGAACAAAGGTTAAGGTTGGTCTCATAGCAAATTGAGGTTCTATTTTGGAATTTTGAGTTCAAAATCATAGTCAAAAAACATAATTGCTTGTAAAGCTAACTTAGCCTAACTAAAAATAGGCTGCATAGTCAAAAATTGGGGTGTTTTGGTGTAAAGAAGCATTATGGGCTGACCTTAATTAAAATTCAAAGTCATATTTAACTAACTTAACTTCCATTTTGAAAATTAATTAACTTTCCAAATCAAGTAGACCCTAATTAATCTTTCTTATTTTCTCTAAACCCTTTTTTCTAGATTGTCTTTTGTGCTTAAATAAGTTGCAAAAACATGATTTTGAATTGTCAACCCTAGATACCAATTTGGCCACTATTACATGCCCAAATATTAAAACCATGGGGCTTATAGACTCAAGTCCACAGGGACTTCTTTAAATTGAAATAGTCCATTATTTAGTTTTTTAGCCACTAGTTTGGTTCATTATCATTTGAAGGAAAAAAGCCATTAGTTCAAGAATTTGCAAGCAATTTCCCTATCATGTGAAACATGTTATAAGTGAATTTCTCTTTATCCTTTCTTCTTTATTCTACCCCCCTTAGCAATTATAATTATTTAAACAACTTAAATTATTAAAAATGCAATTTGAAATATCAATATGTTAGTTAATGAGTGGAAAATCCAATATATCTTAAAAAAAAAAATAAATTTACGCATCTATATCGAGAAATTTATGAATAAATCATCAAACTGATTTAATTGAATCGAATTGATCGGTACAATTCGGTTTAAGTTTTAAAGTATTCAATTCAATTTTCAGATTAAATGGGAAAAGAATTGAAATTTTTTTTTTAATTCTTAAAAAATTAATGTAAAGTGTAAATTAGGTTAAAATTAGAAAATTAAATCGAGTAACATCAACTAGTTTCTATTTGATTTGATTGACATTTTATACAATTTTGATTTGATTCAATTTTTCTTTAAAAGAAATTCGATTTTATTCAATTTGACCTGATTCGAATCGATTTCAAATTGAATCAATGAACGCTAACATGATTTGGTGAATAAAATTTGTCACTTAACTTATGAGGTTCAAGTTATAATAAATGCAAAATAGAATGAAGTACAAGTTTTATCTTTGTTTATGTCACAAAACAAAAGAGGTAAAAGCCTTGGCAACCCACAAAACACAAGACCCATCCCTCTATTTAGTTTCCCAAACACACCACGCCAAGTCTAAGTAGTGATAGATGAACTTGTTATTATTTCACCCCATACACCTAAACCCACACGCAAATTCCATTCTCTTACCTTCTCTTTTCCTTGCACCAATGATTAATTCACCTAAAATGGTGCTAACTTCCCCAACTTACTCTACCAAAACCTAGTTGGGTACTTTCTTTTGACATCATGCACTTGGTCTTTGTTATGTGTACGGTGTATAATTAAGCTAGGGTGAGCTTTCAATGAAAAATTAAACTGAACTTGTTTAATTTGGTTTTCGATTTGATGATTAAATTTATTATTTTAGTAATTTTAGTTTACAATTTTTGATTCGGCTGAAAGTAAGTCTAAATTTTGCTCAAAATTCAAATGGAGTTAATCAGACCAAATCAATGCAATTTGATTTTGTACATAATTGGATTTCAATTCAGTTGAGAAAACAAATGTAATTCGATTTTGTTGGTTTGGTTTGATTTAGTTTAGAATTGAATTGATTGATTTCACGTCCCTAAAGCTTATCTATATGAACAAGCGATTAAAAGTCAATAGTTAAAGGATTTACTTGCTTAGATCGGATCCATGACGATATCCATAGACCAAATCAATGAAAATTGAAAATAGAAATTTTTGTTGAAATGAGAGTATTTTTAACCATATACAAGGAAGAAAAGAATAAAATACAAACAATTTTTTAAAAATTTCTATTTTCATTAGCAAGTATTAATCACCACCTAATTAATATTTAGGTTTAGAATCACTTGTAAAAGTTTTTAAATAATTATAAGTAGGTTATAAATTTTTAAAAATTCAATCTTTAATAGTTCAAGATTATAATTTTCAATTTGAAAAATTAAGATTTTTAATTATGGGCTTTGGACTATTGAAAATAAACCACTAATTGATTGCAAGAGGCCTACAATGACTACTACTACTAAACCAAAACATCACACACATGTATGTTTAGATAGCTTGTGGGTAAAGTGATAAGTAGATTGAAAGTTAAAAATTTGATCTTGTAAGGTATAAAGTTTATGCCTTTACACTCCAATTGATTGTAACAAGATATTCCAATTTCATAATGATGATGAAGATGAAATTGACTCTATTAATAATATTAACATGAATTTAAACTTTAATTTTGTACATAAAACATAAAAAGAAATGTGTACATGGTTTCCAAAATGTAGGTTTGCAAATACCAAAATGGTCAAATATATACGACAAGACAGGGGTCAAGGTCGGCCAGTGAGACGATGGGGGATAAGCTTCATCGTCGAGAGGAAAATAGCCCGGATCACCAGCTAAGGTCCCTAAATGACCGCTCAGTGATAAAGGAGAAAATTTAACAATGTTTACTATCTACTATAGAAGCTTTTTATAAGATCAATGAACTCTGTTATATATTTTTTTTCGTAATACTTATATTTTATATGTAACTTTTCGAGGAGGGATTCTGTCGTTTATTGACTATTCTATTGATTGAAATTTGGTTAATTAAAATTTATTATTTATAGAAAGAAAAAGAAAATATCTTTGTAGAGACATAACTATAGAAGAGAAGTTAGTATGACCAAGTAAGTTATTACCTCACCCATATATGCACGTGTGTAATTGGCCAAAAAAAAAAAAAAGCATGGATACTTAACTAATTTTTCTTTTCTTTCTTGTTTTGGTCTTAAAATCAAAAGAACTAACTAACTTACCCGTTTCCAATTTGTTTTTAAGAATAACTTGATATTAAAAGCTATCCCATTTATTGAATTGATTTCTCTAGTTTTATTCATTAAAACCAAATTACTCTAATCAAGATTAACAAATTTACAAATAAAGAAATTCTTATTGTATAATCTCAGTTAAAAAGTTAAGCTTTAATTACTGAAATGAGAAATAAATCTTACAAAATTGTCAAATTGCCTATATAGGATCGTAAAGTTAACCTCTTAAGAGAGCTTTACTATGTTGTATAGTTCAAAAGGGATTAGTCTTTCACCCGATCTCTATCTACCGAATATATATATAACTAAATATTAGAATTTTATTTCCATTTTCTTGATTTGAAGAGAAATTGGAAAACCAAAAGTCAGCTACCAGACCAAATAATATTTTTCTTCTCAATCTCTTGTATCTTTTCAAATCCATTATCCATCCCTCTCTGACTTCAAAAAAGTCTTGGAAAGTCATTATCAACCGCAACCTTTCACTCTATATATACATTCTTCTTTGTATTTCCAATTCATGACAAAAAATTCTTAACAACCCAAAAATCTCCTGTTGCTAAAGTTTGCAACTTTATTACCTTAACTTTCAATTTCTTTGCTTTTCTCTCCTTTAAAAGTATAGTGGAAGACAAAATTATGTACCCACCAAAATATTTGCTTCTCCTTTTTCTTCTTACATTAACATTCTTTATAAGTTCCTGTTTTGGCACTTACCAAGAAAGCTCAAATGCTATTTTTTCTAGCTTTTCAAAGCTTACTAGGAAAAGAAGCTCTTCTTCAAGAGAATCACCAAAAATAGTAAATGTAGATGATTTTGGAGCTAAAGCTAATGGAAGAGATGATAGTGAGGTATGCTTCAATGGAAATTTTCACTAATTAATGGTTAATTTTCTTTTTTTTTTTTTTTAAATTTTTAGGTGTAATTTTGGATTTTTTTTGTTGGGTTTTTGTTAGGCATTTAAGAAAGCATGGGAAGAGGCTTGTTCTTCTACACAAAGTGCTGTTCTTATTGTACCTAAGGACAAGACTTATAATCTTAAGAGAGTTACATTTTCAGGTCCTTGTAATTCTGATATTAAATTCATGGTAAGTTAATTTTTACATATTTTTATTACAAATTTTTACAATAATTATTTACCTTTTAAATATTTTTATAATTTTTAATATATTTTTTTTCATATTTCAGATTTATGGAACATTAAAAGCTTCCAATAAGATGAGTGACTATCAACATGATAGAAGACATTGGCTTGTGTTTGATAATGTGGAAAGATTGAGAGTTAAAGGTGGTGGCATCATCAATGGCAATGGAAAAGTTTGGTGGCAAAATTCTTGTAAAATCAACAAAAACAAGGTACTTAATTAATTGAAAATTTCATTAATTTTCATAATTAATAACAATTTTTCCTACTATAAATAAACAACTAATTAATTATTTTTTCTCTTCCATTTTTATCCAGCCTTGCTCAGATGCACCAACTGTAAGTTTATGCTCCTTCTAATCATTTCTTTCTTCATTTCTAACATTACAAACAACCGAACATCTGGGTTATATGAATCATTTGTTTAAAGTATCTGCTCTGTATATTTTCGCATATTCTGAACACTAATGTATCTACATATTTTGCAGGCTGTCACCTTCAATGAGTGCAAGAATTTGATAGTAGCCAATCTATCATTCAGAAATTCACAACAAATGCATCTTACATTTCAAAAATGTATTAATGTTAGAGCTCTAAATCTTATGGTGACTGCACCAGGAAACAGCCCTAACACAGATGGTATTCATGTCACTGGCACACAAAACATTCGCATAAGAAATTCTGTCATACGAACAGGTATATATGTAACCCTAATTAACGATACAAATTTTCAAAATTTCCTTCAAAAATCAAAATTTTAAGTGAAAACAAGATCGACCCAGATGTCGAAATATGGAGTGAGATTATAATTATAATTATTTTTTTCATTTGAAGGTGATGATTGCATATCAATAGTAAGCGGATCAAAAAATGTTGAAGCTACAGATATAACATGTGGACCAGGACATGGAATAAGGTTTCTTCAATATTCAAATCTAGCTAGCCAACTTTGTACCTAACAAATTTCAACTGTTTCATTTCTACTCTGCAAATGTTCAATTTATGGTTTGGTATAATTTTACTGACTCTGATATTTATTTTTCTATGTTGTTAATGGCAGTATCGGTAGCTTAGGAGCTGGTAATTCAGAAGCAGAAGTTTCAAATGTGTTAGTTAATAGAGCAACACTTTCAGGAACCACTAATGGAGCTAGAATTAAGACTTGGCAGGTGAGACAACACTTTTGACATTTTTATTTTAATTATTTCTGCAGACAATTTGGTTGATTAAGACATTTTCAGTTCCTAAATCAAAGCCTCAAGGACAGCAGCCATTACCAAGTAGGGCTATGAACCTAAGACAAAGGCAAGACAAAAGGAATTTAGGGATTGATTGGTGGGTCTAGGTCAATAGTTCATAAGAAAAAGCAACATAAGACTAAAGAAAAATAGTTACCCATTTCTCCTACATTTAACCGAAAGCTGATCATTATTTCCGTTTGTACCTTTTTTTTTTCTTGGTAAAAAGATATTTTCTTGGTAAAATAAAATGAAATAGTTTTATTATTTTTGTTTAAATTTGCAATATTCAGCATATTTTCTAAAAGTTTACATGATCTGCAGGGAGGGTCTGGATATGCAAAAAACATAGTATTTCAAAATATCGTAATGAAAAATGTGAGCAATCCTATAATTATCGATCAAAACTATTGTGATCAAGACGATCCATGCTCAGAACAGGTAACTAACAAAACAAATTTTTTCTTTTTTATTTTTTTATTTCAAGCTCACAACTCATGGATTATATATATATTTTTTGTTGCTTTAATGGCAGAAATCTGCAGTGCAAGTAAGCAATATAGTGTTCAGAGGCATAAAAGGAACAAGTGCATCAGAAGTAGCCATTAAATTTAATTGCAGCAGAACCTTCCCTTGTCAACAAATTTTATTACAAGACATAGTTCTAGGAAATGAAGGAGATGAAAGGGCCAAAGCTTCATGTAGTAATGTATATTTGGCACATAGAGGGAGAGTTTCTCCTCAATGCTCTTGACAAAGATAAGAAAAAGAAGCACCCATTGTTGTGGTGATTGATTCAACTTAATTAGATGTTAAATTATTTATAAATTTTTTTACTTTTTTAATAATTTTTTTAATGTTTTATGTCTTTGAAATCACATGGAATAAAAATTCCAATGTAAAATCATGAATTCAATTGTATGTTGTTAGCTTCAATTTATGAAGTTGATCAAGTAAGAATTCCCACCTTGTCTCAGCCATCATTCTCAAAGTATGTTCTATTTAATGCATGAATAATGAAAAATTATTATTATTATTATTATTTAAACCAATAGTATTTTTGACCATACACTGAGAAAAAAAAATAGAAATAAATTTTAAAAGTTCATATTTTTATTGATTTGATTTATAGATGAAGCCTTAGATCCTATCCAAACAAATCTAATCCAACAAATACTCCTTTCATCCATGATTTTCATTTTTGTTTAAGACTTTTGCACGAGGATTAAAAAAATAATTACGATTTCAAATATAAATTACATTAAAACCCATTAAACACAGCTCAATATCCGAGAGAAATTACAATAGCAAATACAAATTGGGCTCATTGGACTACTAAATGTAATTTCTGAAACAAGCCCAATTATTTGGGTCAGGAAAAAGATCGTTCTCTTAATTTTTCCCTCGTTAGATTGAGCCAAATTTTAATATAATTGTTATAAGGATTATGAAAAATCATTGAAATAATTCAATACAAGAAAAAAAAAATTATATTTGACTAAATTACATTTTTTATTAATTTTAAATAGCTACTTTTTTGTAGTGAAGATACCAAAAAATAAGGAATAAAGTCAGAAAAATAATTAATATTTAATTTCATTTTCTAAAATAATAGATAAGCAAGAAAAAAAAAATTTCTAAATTGTAACTTGAGCAAGTGTGAAATAAATTAGATATAATGATTCTAATTACAAAACAAAACATGAAACTTATCTTAGATCTCACAGCAGGAGTAGATTTAAATATAATGATTTTCTCAAAATCATAACAATATGATATCAGAACTAGCTACAGCTTCTCCAATTTTAATCATATGGCGTGGATAATGACACCACGACTAATTGGTGGTGATGCTGATATCATAATATCGACCGGGGTTAAAAAAAAAAAAAACTCGGTCTATCGTGGGTATCAGAATGATTAATTTTTGAGGTATGATTCTTTCGGTTATATAAAAATAAATAATAGTTATAATTTGTAGGTATATTATTAAATGGGTGTTGATTAAAAAAATAGGCATCTCTCTTATCATCTTTGTTTTTTTTTTTAGAAAGGAACTCTTAGTTGGTGATGACTTAGCTGATTTTTGCTGCTACATATATAATTTTATAATGGGAATCATATAGAACCTAACTAACTTGTGTAACTTATTTTAACTGATTAAACTAACAAATACTTCAATTTTAACTAATTGCAAGTTAATTACCTACATTACATTTAGTCTATGGAGAAAAAAAGATTGGAGCACATATGTTTCTCTTTGTCAAAGATGGAAGTGTGAGTTTTTGGCAAGCTATGAATAAAGTTTTACACATGGTAGATAGCTAATACGGCAAAGAGAAGACAGAAGGAAGACTGTAATTACTGCTAGGTAAAGATTTGCTTCAACAAACAGTCATAAATGTCTTTTTTTTTCGAAAATGAAATAATTATTAGCAAGGATAAGCTTACATAATACTGATTATTATTAATATATTTTTAATTTTATGACTGATAAGAAGTTTGAATTGACTATTGAGTGATTTAAGAAAATAAATGAAAATAGAGGAGTGGGTGAGCAATCATGTTTAAAATAAAATTTTCATGTATTAATTATGTGGAGAAAATCAAAACAAAATCTTTTAATCAAGAATTTAAAATTAATACAGGGCATTGGGTATTGAAGATGGCATGAAAAATCCCATATTTCTGCACAATAGAGAGTAACCCACGTCTTGATTCACCAAATTAATGAAAACAACTGTGATCGAGAGGATTTAAACTCTAATTACAATTATTTAGCTATAAACAGAGCAGAATAGAAACAAAGTATTCTTTTTTTTCTTTCTGTCCCCAATTTTTCACACTTCTGTGATGCACACTTTTACTTTTCTATTTTGTCCAAAGGAGAAAGTATGTATGTTTTGTGTAAGTGTGTGGTTTGGGAGAGAGAGAAGGAGAGAGGACAACAAAACTACAAAAGGGTAAAAGCAAGGTATTAAGTCAGATGGACAAAAAAGGAAAGGCAAATAGTACTTGTTTTATCCAAGATTCAACAAATGTAAATAAATACTTAATGAATATTTATTGGAGAATGGAGAGAGAGAGAGAGAGATGATTTGGATTTTGCAAGAGAAAGAAGGATAAAAAGACAGATGGGATGGGCAATTGTTGGGCTCTTCTCCAACACTAACTCTTTGCTCAACAAGCCTAATAAAAAAGGAGGGAGTGGGGATAAAGGAGATTCAAAACCCAAAGGTGTCTTCTCACTTGCACACACACACTCTCTCTCTCTGCCATACAATTTCTCATCATCAATTCTTATCAGAAGGATGGAAAAAGAACAAGACACATCTGCAAGTGAAAAGACAAGAAGGTTTAAGAGTATATGTGTATTTTGTGGAAGTAGAGCTGGGTACAAATCTTCATTCAGTGATGCTGCTCTTGAACTTGGTAAACAGCTGGTAATATATACACAAGTCAAATATACAAGCTTCAAAAGATTTCTAATAGACTAAAATTTCTCCTTTCATAGGAGCCTTTTCTTTTTTTCTTCTGGGTTAATCAGACTCTAGTAGTGGTCCACTGGTTTATAGGAGCTTTATTGCACGTTGGTTTTAACTGATGGTTAAGTTCTTGTTATCAGGTTGAGAGAAAGATTGATTTGGTATATGGTGGGGGGAGCGTAGGTCTTATGGGTTTGATCTCACAAACTGTGTTTAATGGAGGTTGCCATGTTCTTGGGTATATACGAACTTCTTTTTCTTTTCTTGGCTTTTCTTTTGGTGGACAGAAAACTTGACATATTTGTTAAAATTTTGCTTGTGTAGAGTAATTCCTAAAGCTTTAATGCCTCATGAGGTACTAATTCCATTCCAGTTCTATAATGTTAATTATATGCTTTACATTATTGAAATCTTTCAAGATGATTGAAACCACAGCTTCACTACACAGATATCAGGAGAAACCATAGGAGAAAGGATAACAGTTGCAGATATGCATCAAAGGAAAGCAGAAATGTCAAGACATGCAGATGCTTTCATAGCACTTCCTGGTATGGATAAAGTTTCCTTCAAAGATAATATATATTACCTAGAATAGAATACGATAAATTTAAATCAAAATTGTACAATTTGTCCAACAGGTGGTTATGGAACTTTAGAAGAACTGATGGAGATAATAGCCTGGGCTCAGCTAGGAATCCATGACAAACCAGTAGCCAATAAGTCTTTTTTAGCTTTTACTTGAATTTATCAGTTCTTTTAGAAGATAAACTTTAATGGGTTCTTTTTCTTTTCCCTTTTCTTGATTTTGAATTTTGTAACAGGTGGGATTGTTAAATGTAGATGGATATTATAACAGCTTACTTGCTTTGTTTGATAAGGGAGTTGAAGAAGGTTTCATAAATGATACTGCAAGGCATATCGTAGTTATAGCAGATACAGCAGCAGAACTTATCAAGAAAATGGAGGTATGCAGTATGCACGGAAATGGAAAGAAGAAATATGAAAACTCAGAAACAATACGGGGAGAAACGACATTTAAAATATAATTTTGCACAACAATATGCAGACTTTGCTAAAGAAAAATAATAAAATATGTACAATTTGATAATGTTTAAAGGTTTATGATTGACTAGGCACACAAAAAAATGTTTTCTTGCATACTATCATTATAAAAACTAGGGTTGGTTGCTGAATTATTGGAGAGGATGACAGAGAAAAGTTGAAGAGAGAAGCAAGAAATGATATATAATTGGTTTCATTGTTATGATGCAGGAATATGAACCAGGCCATGACAAAGTTGCACCAAGACAAAGTTGGGAAGTGGACCAATTATCAGAGTCTACAACAAGTGGGGAAGCCTTAGGATCTTAGATCTTGAGAAGCCATCTATATCATGTATATATTTATATAAAAGATACATAAGTTGGTGCAGTTCCATTTTAATCAATCAAAAAGAAAAGACAGCAAAAGATTACTCAATATCTTTCTTTTTCTCTCTCTAAAGTGGTCTAAAGATCCCATATCTGAATCACCCACATTTGTATATTCATCATGACATGTATGTTCTAGTTCTTTTTTTTAACTCAATTGAATTGCAAAAGATTCTCTCTTTCTCTATGTATCTTACTACATCAATGTTTTTTAAAAAATTGATTTGGTAATTAAACCTATTTGTTTATCCAATTTGACCTAATCAAGAATTGATGAAAATATAGTAAATAACTATTTAGTCCCTCAAATTTGATCATACTTGCAATTTCATCTTTCTTGTTTAGTAATTTACTTATTAATTTTGATGTTTAACTCCGTTAAACTATTTAGTCTTTCTATTTAAAAAATGTTATTTTAGGAGTTGAAAACTATATGTTACTAGACTATTTAGTCATTCACATTTGATATATCGTTACTATTGAGTACGTCATTTAATAACAAAAACGGCACGTTTTTGGGCAAAGGATTAAATAATTTAATGAAACTAAACTTTACGGACTAAATTGTGTATTTACCAATAAAAGAGACGAAGTTATAATTATGACAAAACTTGAGGGACTAAGTATTTATTTACCCTAAAAAACTTTTAAGGCAATCTTTTTTCTTTTTTTGTTAGATTTTTAAAGTAATATGCTAATATGAAAAGATACAACTGAACTAAATCAAACCCATTAATATTGAACTAATTTTCTAGAAAACCACTATTCCAAATTTCTCTCATTAGACCATTGACCATGTCAAAAAAGCACACAATGGTGACAAGGAACAAGGTGGGGAGTGGTGGGGAAAAGGAGAGAAAGGGATAGACAGATTGCTCTTTGGGAATGGAGATGGTAAGAGGAGGCAAAGAGGCTGTGTCCACTTACTTTTATTTTTTCATTAGAGTGCTGATGTGTTGAGTGTGGATTGGAGCTTTTGGATTTTGGGTTGATTGTTCATTTAGACAGACCCTGTGGATTGGGTCCTACAACACCATAACCCTAAAATTGACATTTTTGTTGCTTAGTGCACTCTTTCGTTATGTTATTAAAAATACACACTATAATTTTGTACTCTAAAATCAAGGTTTTTAAAAAACCCTTGTCTTGGCCAAAGTGGAAATTGCATTATATATATACATATGTCAGTGTGTCATGGTTGGAGTGTAACCATCACAAGTGGGCACTTTAGTAAATTTATTTTTTTAAAAATGAACAATAGTACTAAATGAAATATGAAATTATATGTTTTTAATAGTTCTAGTTTCAGGTGATGATTCAATTGGTTCAGTTCAAATTGAATTGATTTATGCCAAACAACCTGAAATATTTTCAGTGCAACTCAAACCAAGTCAAACATATATTTGGTTTGATTTAATTTTAATAATTTTTAACAATTCGGACAAATTTTTTAGGTTTAATAAAAATCAAAACCAAACTTTAAAAAGTTTTCTACTTTCTCTATTAAAACCAAAATAAGACAAATTTTACAAAATATTTAACTGAACCAAACCAAACTGGTTCATATCAGTTCGATAGTTTGGTTTTTCCGAACCATGCTCTGCCTGATATAAGAAGTAATATTGTAAATAATTAACTTTAAACTTTAACTTCAAATCTTATTTTTTGTTCTAAATTCCTTCCTATAATTTCATAAATAAAATATTACATCTTAAAGTAAAATGATGGGACATAGAAGGAAGAGGACGAGTGGGTGATAAGATAACCATAAGTCTATTCCTAAGTTATATATTAACATATTCATATCTTAAAAGTAGCCTTACCCTGTAATAGTATAATACACTTCTTTACTTTTGCATGCTCTTGAAAATGTATAGAATATTCAAGAACAAGCAATTTGCTATGGAAAGTTTTTTTTTTTTCCACTTCTATTTATACACAATAAAAGGAAAAAACTGAATAAAACATCTCGTATTCGTAGATTCTAGAGAGGGTTGATATACGAAACCCTCCTCCCTCATGCTTTTGCAGAGAGACTGTTTCTGTAACTCAAACACAGAACCTATAGTTCACAAGTAACTTTACTGCTACACCATAACCACCCTCAGAATTCAAAACATGGAAAGATAAATCTAAACAAATAAGCTCAATTTTTGAGATATAAGGTTCAATGGTATTTGACATCTGGTTTGGATTTCAGATTCCTTTGGCTAATGGTTTCTTTGTATACAAATTAGGATTCTTATTATGCAGGCAAAGGTGTTCATGGGATCAGTTATTTAAAAAGAAATTGCTGGGTAGAATTATGAGAATTTTCTCTCTCAAGCATGTGGTTTCTACTTGAAGAAATCCAAGTTGTATATGATCCAACATAATAATTCTTAGCACTGCCAATTGCTAATCTACACTAAAATTAGAGTATCTTCAAGAAGAAAACCTCAAAATTAAAACCTAATAAAAAAATTAAGGGAAGAAAACTTGCATACTAACTAAATTCATCTTTTAAACCAAGCTTGAGAATGCCATGCCATGCATGCATAGTAACTCTGTTGAAAAATAGCAAGTATACATGTGCTTTGTTAGTGGGAAGCCATAACAGGACAGACAGCTTGTACAATACCATTACCGAGTTTAGTTGCTTCCACATTGCAGACACATGGTGCTATGCTATTATCAATTAAAAATCACCCCTATCCCCACCCTACCTAAAATAAGAATTAAAAGAGAAATAAAGATAAGGAAAAAGTGTGGAATTTTCCCATCGCAATGTCTAGTGAAAGAAATGAGACCACACAAGTTTTCCGTTTTTTATTTTGGATCTATCTATTAAAAAACTCCACTCTTTTTTTTCTTGAAGGCAAGAGAGAGGACTAAAACACATCTATTGCAGAAACCACTTCTCATTCCACTCATATTGATATTGACTTCAAGCCAAGAATCTAAACATGGAGCTCCTCCGCTCAATCTCCTACAAGGGAACAAATGGCCGACTGAGCTAAATTGGTTCCAAATCCATTTTCGTACGGGTGTAGGTTAAATAAACAGCGTTTCAAACTGGAACCTTGATTGACTATGATAGTAAACCGGAAGAAAACCATGGAGAAAAAAAGAAAAAAAAAAAAAACATTTCCCAGTAACCATAATTAGACATATTGAGATGATTGCAAAACAGGAACTGTTTACCCAATCAGTACATGTGTTTAAGCTCTAGGAAAAGGGTGGGTTGTCCGGTCTAAACGAAAGTGAAAGCTGATGTGAAGAGAGTCCAACATTAATGTGCTATAAAAAGTTATTAAAATACTTTCCTCTTTGGTATTGCTCTCATCATGGTTAAATGAAAAACATCAACCACCCGCTAAACATCCATAGTATCAACTATCCTATTCCCTTGCAGATTTGATGGATAAGACAGCCTAGAAACAATAAGGTAAGAGTCTGCCTAGTGCCTAGAGCAAAGCAATAACTTTTCAAAGGATAAGTTAGGGGTCTTGAGCAAGGATAATATAATTTGTTAAAATGTAGCAAATGTATCAATCTAGTTAATTATAGATTATTTCGATTTGTAATAATTATTCCCACTGCACACAGACACAAACAAAATCGAGATCTTCATTGTTATGGCAACATGTGTAATACAATAGAAAATGTAGATTATCCGATAGTCATTTCAGAAACACCAGGAACTGTCATCGTTTCAAATGTAAATAGTTCTGCTCGACACATAATTGCTCAATTAACTTGTAACATTATATAAAAATGAGCAAAGTCACAAGATCATTTTCAAAAGGTAAGAACTAACTAGTCAACTGCACCAACATGCATCAGAGCCATTTGGAAAGTTTCCATTTTCCCCAGTTAATAACTAAGTCAATCTATGGTTTTGTTACATGATAACCACCTATTATAATACAAGTAGGAATGGACAAAAAAATTTAACTCACTTGTATGCAGAGTCTCAAAAGCATTTCCGGTGAACAATGGATGGTCCAGCTTCATCGTAATCCCCCTTGGTAACATGCTGATTTTGAGGGAATACTACTTTAGCAAGAATGGCACCCCCTACCCATGCTGAATACTGAGTCAACTCAGCTGGCATATATTCTGGGGGCTGCAATGAACCAAAAAGTAAAATAAGACTAAAAAGTGCATTGTCCAAAACACCATGCGAAAAATCAAAAATTAAAATAAAATAAAAAAGAAAAAAGAATGGACACAATCATTTCCACAACATCCTAGTTGACTTCATTAGGATTTTAAAAAAAGTTAGCACATAAGCTCATATTTCAAATCTAGTTAAAAGTGACTTGTACATTCTTGTATCAAGAAAAATATTTCATAACCATTAACGAAATACTTGAAAAATCAGTGCCGATGATGTTTTATCATAAAAGTCAAAGAACCTAACATTATATGCTTTCACATTAAAGTAAATATATTTTTCTCATGAGGAGATATTATTTTTTATTGAAAAAAAAAAAAACTGAACCAATCGCAACTTCTTATTTAATGGGATATGAAAACAAATATAAATTGTCAATCTAATGAAAGGCCTCAATAGGATAAAAAGGTCCTACATATTATAAATTGTTTATGCGACAGTCGGACAACAATGAATTGATACTATCAGTCCTTGTACAATTCACTTGCACCAAAAGCACCATCAACCAAGACCATCAAATCAAGCGCCATCAGATACCCCAAAATCAACAGAATAACTCTTTGAAAATACTCAAGTAATAACTTCTTTAGTTATAAAGCATATCACCTTTACAAGTGAAGGACGAATAGCTGATGAGCACAGGCTAGCTTCTTTCTGGAACCTATCTTCAAAACCTGCATTAGGCAGCGGTAGGGCAATGAATCCAGCTGCTAAAATCCTATTTAAGTTGGTGATCTAAGTAAAATAAATACATAAAACATCTATCCTCAACTGACTAGATTGATAGCACAGAAATGGATCAACATCACAGTTGCACAAAAAAATTTTAACTAAGTAAAAACTATGAACTCACCAGGCATAGAAGTTATGCCACCACAAAGTACAGTATTTTCCAACAGCTGCCGGTGGTTCTCAGAAGAGACTGTTGAAATGCTACGAACAAGCAGCTCAACAATTCCATGTGCCTCTAAACCCAATATTGATGGTTGGAATAAAGCCTCACCAACAGTATATCTTTCTTTTCCAATTTTTATCACCTGACACCACATTTGAATCTATATTGAGAATCCCAACTTTAGTAGCAAAAGTAAATCAGAAATGTATCAAGATCAAATGAAATATCTAAGCCAGCTTCCCACAGCAAAAATCCAAAACTAAAAGGTCATCGCCTAGGCACAAAAATATAGGCACTTTCCTTGAGTATCAGACAGATGGCAGCCACACTCTCTTTCACACAGAGCATATGAATAAACAGTCAAGATCGCAACAAATTCTCCTTGAAGTTGAATATATGGCACCAAACAAACCAGAATGCAAACCATATATTAACCCAATTGATGGGGGAAAATATGAAAACCATAAAGAATAGATGCAGGAATAGAAACCCAAACACTGAACAAGGGTCAAGACCAATAGAACCACAAGTTGGAACACTTTTGGTGTTAGCTAAACTAGTCACATACGAATTTTACTATCAAATTTTTTGGCACAATGCTTCCAAGTTGAACCTTGACACTTTGTACTCTTTTTTATGTTCAATTGCTAGGTCAATATTTCGAACATTGCAGAAACCACAAACCTGTCCATCAGGAAGGGTATGCTCTTCGCTCTCACTTGACTGTTGGGTCTTCTCATAAGCAACCTCGTCTTCAGCACAACAGGAATACTTTTCTTTTATTATCTCAACATCAGCAACATTGAGATTCATGGAAGGATTAGATTTAGCCAGTTCTTGGGCTAGTAACTTAGTCAAATCAGTACCACCAATTTCAAATCTTCTAGAAGCAATGTGCTGAACAGCACCTTCAATTACTGGCGCAATATCTGAAAGTAAAGGAAAAAAGATCATGTATCAGTTGACAGATGCATCTAATGAAGGACCACCCTCTGCTGCAAATCCACTGAGGGGATGGCATATATAACTGCTTTGAAGGCTAAAATCAAGCAACATTCCACCTTCTTCAAATAACAAACTTAACAGAGAAGGAATATGATAGGTCAGATACAAATCATGCACCATTAGAAATATCAAAAAAGTTACTTACGTGGTCATTATTTTTCAGATTTCAAAGGCTTTAAATGTTCATGCAATTGCACTGTAAGGAGTTCTCAATACAAGGCAAGAAAGCTTCCACCTTGTGCTTGAATGACCTTACAGCCCATGAATGGAGATTAAGGTTTCCATTGTATTTGAGGCCGTTTCAAACTGCAGTACTCTATAAGCTTGTTAATTTTACACCACTCTATGAGCTTATATGATCCAAACTTTATTAATCCACCAATTTGATTTAGAGTCAAATCAGAAGGATGTGATGTAAGCCTAGCCATAAAAATGGACTATGAGCCTGACCTGAATGAGTATGTGAATCTAAATATGCAATTAATATTCCAAGATATTTGGAATAACGAGTACCAACACAAACTTCCATTCTTATAAGTACCCCCTAAGCACATATCTCTGCATTTGAGTCTCACATCCACCTCAGATAATGGGAAAATCTTATTATTAACTCTTTTGAGGTGGAAATAAAAAGCGTAAAAACAGTATCAGATACTGCATCGAATGCAACAGAAAATAGTCTCTGCAAAAACCTTCAGGTTCTCTCATTGATTCCCATTACCAATCATGGCAAAAAGACTTATGTTCTAGCATAGGCTTGTTCCACTGTCTAATAATGATGTTGTTCTTCTTTCATGTGCAACTAAAAGAATAGCACAATGATTACATATAATGACGAGATGCGCAAAAACAAAGATTGACATAAGTTTACATACCTATCTTCCCATGACCAATATCAACTGTGCATCCAGATATACGCCCAACTGCATAAAGGGATAAAACTGCTTGCTCTGATGCATAAAACCCCGAAACATTAAATGTTTCAAACATCAATTGCACCAATTGTTCCCTGACAGACTGTAAAAGTATAATTATTCACCACCAGCAAATTGATGGAAACTTGCAAACGTTTAATACAGAAGTTCTGGTGGCAACTAGAACTAATGATAAGCACTTCCAAAGCAACAGACCAAAATATATTAGGGGGAAAACCCGAAAAAGCATAGTGGTCACACTGCTCAAGGCACACAATAAGTTAAAAAAGAAGGCACAGAGAATCTCAACAGAACACTAGTTGTCAAAGTTAGCATTCTCTTCACTGAAGTAAAGCTAGTAAAAATGGAAATTGGACGAGAAAAGGGGGAACAATGTTCAACATCCAACTTCACTTTGTCTATAGGGCTGATTTCCAGTTAGGAAATCTGGAACCAATTCAAAGCTAAAACCACTTCCCGAATACATCATGGAGTTGAACACTAGACACACTTCTGGTACTGAAGTAGCATATTTTCCAGCTTCACAAATATAGGTTAATGTTGTTTTTAAAACGTTTAAAAAAATGAAAAAGTTTGCATCATATTTTCAAAGATTTGCAAGAATAAAGTTTTGGCTAACCTTAGGGGTAGAAAGAGGATCAGTAAACAAGATTTGTCCTTCATTGCCCTCTTCCCATTCAAGCCCTGTGTACAGAACATACTGCAGCAAATCTTCCATAGCATCCCAATCTCTTATATAACCTCGAACAACTGGATCAACATTGATATCCCCAAATAATGAACTATCAGCTGACGTACCATCTTCAAGCACACGCTTCATTTGGGTAGGAATTATCTGCTCACATCCCAACCAAGACACAGTTTTTTTCATGCCATAATTAGTTTTCTGTAATTAGCACACTGTTGCACATAATTTCAAATTCTATGGTTCTTAACTAAGCCAGAATAAATCTTGCAGGAATTCGAAGTCAGCGTTGAACAAGCATAAAAAACCCAAAAGAAATGAAAATGTAATAACTTTTGCTAAAAAAAGTTTCCAACTTTCGCGGAAACTAAGCTCCTTGCTTATTACCATGGGCGGGGCTTGATCTGGAACCGCCGTGCCAGCTTTGAGAAACTTAGATCCAGCATCTATGACTGCTGCTTCCATTTTCGACGCTTAACTCCAAAACCCCAAAACCCTAGGCTGTTATCTATAGTTAAATTGTGCGCATACAAAAATTTAGTACAATGAAACAGCAAAATGTAGTCTATTTCTGGCTTTTTTATGGCAAATGGCAATAACTGTAAACTACTGCAACTGTAGCCTCTCTTTGAGCTAATTTTCAGTTAGCGCGGATACTGATTTGAAAGTTGAAACTACTCTGGTGCCCTGAAGAGAGCTTTTTATTTATTTATTTGTTTATATATATTACGTGAGAACACGAGACCTTAGCTTATTCATTACGATTGGCAAGATTCTTTTTTTCTTTTTTTTTTTTTTATAAAATCAAAATATTTCCGCAAAAATTTTAAAAAAATATTGTATTACCTTAATTTTATACTGTCAAATTTAATAGAACAAGGGAAGTAACAAGCAAGATATAAGTGTAAAGTTGTAAACTTGTAATAGCATCTCCAATGTCCATGGTCTCATATGTTGCTTTGAATGAACATTTTGGAAATCCAAATGTAAACAATCTCACTTTCTGAACAAATGTTTTTTCCTTCTGATGAATCCTTAATAAGACAATAATTCTGATTCCAAGTGATACCTTTTCTTCATTTTCTTTTTAACTATAACATTGTCGAACACAACCTTCCATAACCATTCAGCAAGAGATTAACAAAAGAAAGTATGTAAAGAAGGCAACAAAAAGACCCACAGTGCCATGACCCACATAAACTACTCATCTAAACAGATTATGTACAGATTAATATCTACATGATTCAGTATTTCATTAGTCAAATAAAATCTAATGCATCATCTGCATTCAAAGGTGAGATTGTTAGACTGCAATAATCCATATCGAGAGAGATATGGTTATCAGTCGCAGAACTCATCTCTCCCCAATCCTCCACTGGAATCAAGCTGTACTTATCACTAACTTCAGAATCATTATTGCTGTTTTCCTCCACTGGATTAGCATCAATGTGCAAATCTGATGTGCCAGCCAAAAGGGCTTCAAGAGGAGACTTTGTATTCATGTTTCCCTGAGAATTGAATGTAACTTCCAGGATTGGAGTTTCAAAATCCACTTTGGAGGTAGAGTGCGAAAGTTCAACAACATTCTGTACAATGTCTAGGTTAGATCCTTCATCTGCAACTTCTCTAGAAGCTATTAATTCGTTCTTAATAGCACCTTCCTTGGTCGTATCAGAGACATCACCAGCTTGATTTTCAGAAAACTGTTCCAGACCATCAGTTTTCTCCGGTTCTGAAATACTGCTTGTTCCACTGTCAATTTGTCCATTTTCCATATCATTGATTATCTTGAAAGGATCAGTTCTTTCCACATCATGTCTGGCAGGTACTGTAAGGTCAATGCAATTGCCTGGGGAATCACCTTCACCCCCCTCACTGTGCTGCAAGTGTCCATTTACTCCTTCAATTGTTCTCACACAGTTGTTATTGTTACCAGATCTCAGCACACTCTTGTTGCTCTCTGAAGAAGAAATGTTGGGTGAAGATGACCATGAACTCCTTGGGAGCTCTGTCCCATCAGTTTCACCAAAGCCAGTGAGAGGTCCTTTGAGTATTTCAGAATGGACTTTTGGTGAAGTTGCTTTATCACTGTTATTTCCTTCTTCATTTGAAAACTCAGGAGCTTTAATAGCAATAGCTTTCGAAAATTTTGAAGCTGAAGTTAACAATCCAGCAAGTGCAGATGCTAAAGCATCATCAATTGATAAACCAAGTTTTTGCTTCTCCTTGGGAGATTCCGTCACTGGTTCTGCTGCATCATCTTTTTCTTCGTCATCTGATTTCACTGCATCATCTTCTTCATCATCATCACAATTTGAAAACTCTGGAGCAGTAACTACAAGACTAGGATGTTTTTTTTTTTATTTTTAGATTCTTTTTTTGCTTTTTTTCTTAGTTTTGTGTTATGTTTTGCTTTATCGAGCTGGTTATTTCCGTTTCTTCGATTGAAAAACTCGAGGAGCTTTACATAGCAAATAGTTTTTCGGAGAAAATTTTGAAGCTGAAAGTTAACAATCCAGCAAGTGCAGATGCTAAGAGCCATCATCAAGCATCATCAATTGATAAACCAAGTTTTTGCTTCTCCTTGGGAGATTCCGTCACTGGTTCTGCTGCATCATCTTTTTCTTCGTCATCTGATTTCACTGCATCATCTTCTTCATCATCATCACAATTTGAAAACTCTGGAGCAGTAACTACAAGACTAGGATGCGACCTAGAAGCATTCAGTAAAACAGGGGGAACATCAGACTGAGCAGATGAAACGGCTGGTAATGAATCCTTCTTATTGGCATCACAAGCTGCATAACTAAGATCTGCACCACTGTTATATAGGGAACTGGTCTCTGATTCACTGCAAGAAAATTCAGGAGCAGATATTCTGTTGCAAGAAAGCAACCCAAGAAAAGCCAACCGCCGAATTCTGGGTTTTTCTTAGGTGAAGCTGCATAACTAAGATCTGCACCACTGTTATATAGGGAACTGGTCTCTGATTCACTGCAAGAAAATTCAGGAGCAGATATTCTGTTGCAAGAAAGCAACCCCGAATTCTGGGTTTTCTTAGTGAGCACTTCAAGTTGCTGCTCTACTCTTTGGAGCCTCTCATCAATGCTTCTTATGGGCTTTAGCATACAATCCTCAAACCTCAAAAAGAGATCTTCCATTCTGGTAACTCGAGAAACAAGCTGGTGCAGAACACCTTCAAAATGATTGTGCGATATATCAGGCTTGCTCTCTTTATCTGATACTTGTGGAGGAATCTCCAGCTCAACCGGTTTGGCAGTAGGTATAACTTGTTCTTGCAACTGCACTCCCTGCTTATAAACTGAACCAGATTTCCTTTCCTGCTGTATATCTTTTCCAGCATCTATCGGATCAGGTGGTTTTGCCTCATTTTTCTCTGACTTTTGTTCATTTATTCTCTCACGGTCACATTTGTCTAATGCTAGGCCAAAACCGTTCATTTCAGATAACTGTAAAAAGGTAGGCATAACCATAGCCATAAGTGAATTTCCAGAAGAGCTTTCCATTGGACTCACTTTGCTATCCAAATCAGCTGCATCAACAGGATCAGCAAACACGTAGACTTCATCAATACAAATGCAACCTTTATTCTGAAGTGAAAGTAGCCTCAACGTAATGGATGTGCATGGATTTGCATCTGCAACATCTGCTGTAGCCTCATAAAAATCCTGAATTTTCAATCAATCAGAAATTTATTAGGATAAAAGAAGTGAAGATTTCAATTGTGCTTTAACATTTTAATGATTTAATTTAGCTTTATTAAAATAAACCTTTTCCTTCTCAGCTTTCTTTCTTTTTCAAAATGCTCAATTTCTGCTCAAAATCAGTATTCCCTGCTTCACCATTTTAATGCTTCATCCAGTTATTATTTTTCATTTCAAAACACATTCTTTTCATTAAGTCCAAATTCTTTTCCCATTCATCTGTCGCATGTTAAAGAAAAGGGAAAAGGAAAAGCTATTTTTTAGTCTACAAACCAACATGACAAATCTATGTTAATCAAAGTTCCATGACCAAATACTATGGACTAGTGCTGTCAAATAAATAACTCCATGTAACTCTTTTTATTTAACTCTTATTCTTTCTCATTCTGATGCTGTAGAACTAACATTGCAGAAAGCAGGAGACAATAAAACAAAAATAATCCTGCCACAACATTTTTTCAAGGGCAGATGGGAGGTTCAATGATGTAAAAGAATCAGTAGCAAACAGCTGTGTTACAAGAGCTGAGGCAAAAACTTGAAACATACAAGCAGAAGAAGCAAGTTATATTGTTGATTCATTAAAAACAAGACCACAAGCCTCAATGTCATTGATAGCATCTATATCTAGATAATGTTTCAGCCACTAAACCTTGATAATTGACCAAAATTAAAACTGTTGTGCTTTCCGGGGTTAACAAGGAGGGAGGTAGTGGTTTGCAAACATCTAAGAAAGAAATAAAGGCAAAGAAAACTATTTACAAGAACCCATCGAATTCAAACCAGCAAGAAAAATTGATAAAAAAAAGCTCATTTCATGAATCTGTAAGAGAGCAAATTCCATACCTGTGGCTGTGAGATTCTCCTTTCACTTGTATCAGAATTTGACAATGGAGAACTGTTCCCATTGACAAGCTGAGTATTGAGAGCTTTCACTTCAACCCAATCATCTTCACTGGTGATCAGGTTACTGCCATTTTTGTGTCTTTCTTCAGCTAGTTCTTTAGTAGAGCCCTTCTGATGTGCCGAAACAGTTTCTTCAACATCAATTGCATGCAGCACTTCTTCACCTCTAACAGCAATGCCACAGCGAACAGTACATAGATACTCATCACTACTCTGTAACTCAGAAGCATAATATATTTCATAAACTCGAGAAGTACTTCGAACATAAACCTGCCGCACCTCATGTTTTTGAGCAAAAGTAACTGCATTACAAGAAATTCATGATCATCTAAAATGAAGTTAAAAAGAGGGAGGATAATTTTCCCTTCAGCAAAAAGAAAAATAATAAAATTATTGAGTTTCATGGCATGGTATTTTGGTACATAAAACCTATATATACAATTCTAGATAAAAAGATCCCATAATGAATCTATTATCAACCAAACACCCATACCAAGAAAACAGCTCCCTTGGAAATCTAATAAATGTTGTGAACTACATCTAGTCCTCAAATAAATCAGCAAAGGATCAAAATAGTCAATACCTTAACTCACTAAAAATACTACTTTACTAACCACAACATTCAAAGCAATACCTTAACTCACTAAAAAATTTACCTTACTTTACTAAACCACAACATTCAAACTTAATTCGCCTAGAATACGCTTATTATAGCATAGCAGCAGTAATCCAACAGGTGCTTTTACGAAGTTAACTAAGCGCCAACCAAGTGATTTAAGCAATTAGACATTTCAGTTTTTCTTTTGCAAACAATAGATGAAATTTACAAAAGAAACATTTTTTTTTATCAATAAGTAGATAAATTTGCAATTCCTAGAATATCCAATACCTAAAATAACAAACACAAAAACACAGATCCACAATCAGAATTTAGCTAATCTAAAAAAAAAGAGAGAGGATTTTAGATTTCACAGATCAACAAAATTAACAGAAAAAAGAAAAATGAGAACTTTGAAGACTTACTTTTGATCTTCGCATGGAGCTGGAACAAGTTGAGAGGGTACAGGAATAAAGAGGTGAAAACGACGGTGAGGACTGACCGAGTTATCATGCTTTTCATCGTCGTTGATTAGAGAAGAGCGATGCAGGGACTCGAAAGTTACAAATTTCCAAGAGAGCCAGTGGCGATCGGTCCAGTTTGAAGCCAGAGGTCCATGATTGAAGTATCGGGAGTCTTTATTGGGTCTCAGGAGAGTAACATTATTTGCCGTTTAGCTTTTTGAAATTGAACGTCGTGGTTTTTGTGGTGTGGTTGCCGTCGGGTTTAAACAGTTGCCAGACTCGAGGGCTTGATGCAGAAGGGAAGAAGTCTGACGGCGAAATTTGTAATTTTGATGAAGGCTTTGGGAAGAATTTAGTAATTATGGATATTTATTTTTATTAGCGTTGGAATAAATAAAAATCATATACAATCAATAGTCGATTATAATTAAATTTCATACCACTTCAATATATTTTTTCCGAGATCTAGTACCGATAATAATATTATCATTCAACAAGAAATTATTTTTTTAAACTTTACAGGTGTTAAAAATAGACATGTTTTGAATATTTGCCAGTATAATTTAAATTTTTATACTATTAAAATGCGTTTTTTTTAAAATTCCTATAAGTGAACTCTGAATTTTATGTAACAACCAAATTTAATTTTGGTTTAAAATTTTTTATATATTGAATTGCTGTGAGTTTAATGTATAATATATTGAGTTTGAAATATAAAATGATAAAATAGATTTTCAAGTCATATGACGGAGAGTTGAGTATGAATGTTATGTTGAATTGAAAGAATTGTTTACATCTTGAATCAAATTTTAATTTTCACACTTCAACTCTCGTAATAAAATTGAAATACACAATTTTTTTTTTTTTTTAGCATATTGAGGAATGAAAATTCAATGCTAGCATTTTCTTGTCAGGGGTATGCATTACCACTGACTAGTCTCTTTGGTTGTGTTGAAATACTCAAAAATTTTAACTCAATTGTTATTTATAAAAATTATTTATTACATTTTAAAGTTAAAATTCGAATAAACCTAAAGTATAGCTGTTGAATTAAATATTCTAAATGCAAAACATCATCAGAATTATATTGTTTAGTTAAAGAAGACTCTCTTATAAGTTAATCTGTTTCCATATTATCTAATGTTATTATTATACATTTTTTCATAAATAATTCTTTTGACCTCAGTGTTAATGTGGATGAGATAATTTTTTAGGGAAAGGAAAGTAACATCTGGTTGGAATGCCCTTTAACCCTAACATGGAAATTGAAGGTCTAGGATTCAAACGGATTGTAAGATTCATTATATATTCATTAAGCAATTGAAATATAATATTAACATTGTGATTTTGAAAGAAAAAAAAAAAAAAGAAAAAGTTAAACCCAAACTAAACCATGAAGAAACTTTTCATTTATACAAAATTCTTAGCAGTAGGCATGCTAACACAAAACTGGTGCCAAAAAATTCTTGGCTCGGGGGTTCCTGGTTTTGGGCACCTCAGCCATTGCAAAACCAGCAAGAGAGCAAAGCTGCTAGCTGCAGGGCAGCAGGCCAAACATCAAGTCTCTCCTTCCATTGCTGCGCTTCTCTTTTTAGGGCATCACTAATCCATCTTAACCTTCTCCACTTCATCCCACATTGCGGCATTTGCCACAACAAGTGCTTCGGTGGGTGGCACTGAGGAGACTTGTTAACGGAGGGTGGTGCTTGCTGAAGAAATGAGGGCTTTCATTGGTCGGTTGAGCCATGTCTGCAATGTGGGATAGGCTGAGTGTATGAGGTGCTTGAGTTGTGTATTCATCTTCTTATTTCCGAATAATGGTAGATGTGAAGGCTTAAGTTGGATGAGATCCTAACAGGGAGAAAAGGTTAGTAGTTCATCAGTTAATCGTATTCCCATAGAGAATTATATGATCCAACAAACTTAATGCCCACCTGCTCACCAAGATACTAGTGTTTTGAGTTGTCTGCTCAGTATCTTTGCTTAGATAACAGGAGAAGATGATAGTAGGTCACTTGAGCTTTTTTGGGGCCATGAAAGCGGGAATTGTCGTGAGACCATAAAATGTGGAATTCTTCCCCAAGCCTCACAAATGGTGGAGCGCCACAACATATGGGATCCACTTACTTGATTAGAGACCCCACAGAGAAGTCCAAAGTGAAGAGCTTTCATGTTAAGGAAGTTCACTCAGACTGTTGCAAATGCTTTCATCAATTAGGAGTATATAACGACACACAAAAAAAAAAAAAAAAAAAAAAAAAAAAAAAAAAAAAAAAAAAAGATGATCCCACCAAACTGGTGACACAGGGACAAACGTTGGCTCAGAGAAAGATGCTAAGGTGGTATTCTATGATTCTGGCGCAATTCTAGTTGAGCATGAAGGTTATTGACAGTGAAGTGGTTGGGTTAATTAATCATTGTGAGTTTGTTAAAGAATTAATGGAATATCTTGAATTCTTGTGCTCGGGAAAAGGTAATATGTCTCGTATGTATGAGGTCTGCAAAGAATTTTATCGAGCTGACCAACAAGATAAGCCCCTTACAGCCTATTTCATGGAATTTAAAAAGATTTACGAGGAACTTAATGTTTTATTGCCTTTTAGTCCCGGTGTTAAGGTTCAACAGACCCAGCGAGAACAAATGGCTGTGATGAGTTTTTTTTCAGGTCTTGCTCCGATTTTTGAAATTGCCAAATCACAGGTTCTTTCAAATCACAGGTTCTTTCAGGCAGCGATGTTACCTCTCTTCAGGAGACTTTTGTTAGATTGCTACGTACTGAGGATTCTCATTCCCCTTCCCTTTCTGATAATAGTGCCCTTGTGAGTCGTGATTAGGTATCTAGGCAGCCAGAAAACAGAGGACGAGGAGGAAAGGAAATAACTGTAGTAATGGACCAATTACTCGGGAGGCAAGTATTCTTATCTGCCATTATTGCCATGAACCTGGTCACACTAAACGGTATTGCAAGAAACTTATCAATAAGCCACCAAGGGTAAATATGACCACTCAAGATTCTGCAGTTACTTCTTCTGATAACAGTGTAACCATTTCTGCTACGGAGTATGCTGAGCTCTCTAGATACCGTTCTTTTAAGTCTACTGATTCCTTGATTGCTGCTGCTGCCAATTCAGGTACTCCTTCATGTCTTATGTCTACCTCATCAGAGTGGGTCGTTAAGGTTCAACAGACTCAGCGAGAATAAATGGCTGTGATGAGTTTTCTTGCAGGTCTTGCTCTGGTTTTTGAAATTGCAAAATCACAAGTTCTTTCAGGCAGTGACATTACCTCTCTTTAGGAGACTTTCGCTAGATTACTACGTACTGAAGGTTCTCATACCCTTTCCCCTTCTAATAATAGTGCCCTTGTGAGTCATAATCAGATAGCTAGGTAGCTAGGAAATAGAGGAAGAGGAGGAAATAACCATAGTAACGGAGCAATTAATCGACAGACGAGCATTCTCATCTGCCATTATTACCACGAACCTGGTCACACTAAATGGTATTATAAGAAACTGGTAAATAAGTCACCAAGGGCAGAGATGGCCACTTAAGATTCTATAGTTACTTCTTCTGACAACACTGTAACAATTTCTGCTGCGGAGTATGCTGAGCTCTCTCGCTACTGCTGCCAATTCAGGTACTCCTACTACATGTCTTATGTCTACCTCATAAGAGTGGGTCATTGATTCTGCTGCAAACTATGACCCATCGTTGACCTTTAGTTCCTCAGGTCAATATATGAGTTTCATCCCCTTTTGAGTTAGTTCATTATGATGTTTGGGGTCCATGTCCTGTTATTTCTAAAACTGGCTTTTGGTACTTTATAACCTTTGTGGATGATTATTCTCATGTTACTTGGTTATTTTTAATGAAAACTCATTCTGAGATATTCTCTATTTTCTGTCCCTTTTGTGCTGAGATTAAAACTCAATTTAATACCTCCGTTCGCATATTGCAAAGTGATAATGCTAAAGAATATCTATCTAGTTTCTTCCAATCTTATATGTCATAGAATGGTATTCTCCATCAAAGATCTTGCGTTCATACTCGTTCTCAAAATGGGGTTGCAAAAAGAAAAATTCGATATCTTCTTGAGATTGTTAGGGCACTTCTATTCCAAATGAAGGTCCCTAAACATTTTTGGACTGATGCTATCTCTATTGCATGTTTCTTGATTAATCACATGCCTTCTTCTGTGCTTAATGATGCATTTCCTCATAATGTCTTGCTTTCTTCTAAGCTTATATTCCC